GAGGGGACATTGGTGAGGGTCTGGAGCGGGGGGGCAGCGCAGTGAGGGTACGGAGGGGGGGCAGCGCAGTGAGGGAACGGAGAGGGGGCAGCGCGGTGAGGGTACGGAGCAGGGGAGCAGCGCGGTGAGGATATGGCAGGGGGCAGCGTGGTGAGGGTACGCAGCGGGGGGCAATGCGGTGAGGGTACGGAGGGGCAGTGCAGTGAGGGTACGGGGAAGCAGTGCAGTGAGGGTTCGGAGCGGGGGGCAGCACGGTGAGAGTATAGAGCGGGGGGGCAGCGCGGTGAGGGAACGGAGCGGGGGGGCAGCGGTGAGGGTATAGAACGGGGGGCAGCGCGGTGAGGATATAGAGTGGGGGGGCAGCACGGTGAGGGTACGGAGCGGGGGGCAGCGCGGTGAGGGAATGGAGCGGGGGGGCAACACGGTGAGGGTACGGGGGGAAGCGTGGTGAGGGTATGATGCAGGGGGGCAGCGCGGTGAGAGTACGGAGCGCGGGGCAGCGCAGTGAGGGTACAGAGCAGGGGGGCAGTGTGGTGAGGGTACGGGGGGGGCAGCGCAGTGAGGGAATGGAGCGGGGGGCAGCACGGTGAGGGTACAGAGCGGGGGGGCAGCGCGGTGAGGGTACGGAGTCGGGGGGCAGCAGTGAGGGTATCGAGTGGGGGGCAACACGGTGAGGGTACGGGGGAAGCGTAGTGAGGGTATGGAGCAGGGGGGCAGCGCAGGGAGCATTCCCTGCCCCATAAGGTGCAACAGATCCCATCCCCAGCTGGTGTAACCCAGTGGGGCTCCAGTGCCGGTGGCGCTCTGCCCACTCATCCAGCTGAGGTGCCAGCCCAGACCCTTGCCACCCCCGTGCTGGCCCTTTTGCAGGTGGGGCTGGCACAGCGAGACTTCCCCTCTTGACTAGAGCCAGTGGGCCCAGCCCCCGGCTGCTGCCCCGTTGTCCCCAGCAGGGCAGTGTGTGGCGAGGCCGGTGGGCACGCGGCCCAGCCAGGGCTGTTCAGGGGAGGTTCCTCACAGGCAGGCTCAGCTTCCCCTCGTGCCAGGAGGGCAGCCCCTGGCTCCAGCCGTGCTGGACTCCGTGGCGCCCATGAGTCTTGGGGGATCAGTCCTGGGGGACGCCAGGGTGGTTCATCTTTGCCTGGAGCTCTGGCGACCCCCCGGCTGGGCAGCAATGCCAGGGCAGCTGTGGTGAGATACCACTGGGGCAAACAGCAGGGGAATCCCAGCGTGGCGGTGTCCTGGCCCTGCTCCGCCTGCCTATGTGTGTTCAGGGGGTGACCCAGCAGATCTCAGGCCCTTTCCAGGGAGCGCCATGGGGCTGGCTCCAATGTCTGCTCCCATCTCTCTGGGCCAGGGTGGCGTGTGCTTTAACCTGACCCGAATGGATCGTATCACAGCGCTCAGCACTGAGGACTTCACTGTGGCCGTGGAGCCGGGGGTGACCCGCAAAGCGCTCAACAATTACCTGCGGGACACTGGCCTCTGGTTCCCTGTCGGTATGATGCCGTGCACGGGGCGAGGGGCTCCCTCCAGTGGTGGGGGACGAGGGGTCCCAGCTCCATTCCCAGCGCACAGCCAATGCCTAGGCCTGCAGCTGGGTTCAGTGGTGTCAGAGCAGGAAGCTGGCACAGGTTGGCGAGTGGCAGCTGTGCTGGGCGACATGCCTGGGCTGTGGGCTGTCAATGGGCTGATGAGCTTTGCCCCCAGATCCTCCGCCCCAATCCAGCCCAGTGCAGTGGTGCTGGCTGCCGGGAACAGAGCAGCTGGGTCCCACTCCAGTGGACATGCCATGAAAATCAATCCTGCCACAGGCCCCTCGTTGGCCCACTCAGCATGCAGGCCACGGCCCGCCTGGGCCACGGGTGGGCAGTGCCAGGCAGGGCATCGTGGGCACAGTCTGTGTTGCAGCCACGCGTGGTGAAGGGGCCTGAGCTCTGACCTGGCCACTCCCTCCATATCCCTGTGACCACGACATGCTGGGCTGGGTGCTGGCAGCTGCCCAAGGCTCCGCCTGGACCAGCTTTGGGAGCGCCCATGGCACAGCAACCCGGGGGTGGGCAGCTTTCTGTCTTGGGCCCAGCTCTGCCCTGGGCACAGGGGGGAAGGTTCTCCGGGGTGCTGGTTCTGCGATGCCCCATGACCACTGACTGCCGGCTGTGCCCTTTCCCTCCGTAGACCCTGGCGCTGACGCCTCCCTGTGCGGCATGGCGGCCACCAGTGCCTCAGGCACCAATGCCGTGCGCTACGGCACCATGCGCCACAACGTGATCAACCTGCAGGTGGTGCTGGCCGATGGCAGGGTGCTGCACACGGCTGGCCGGGGCCGCCACTTCAGGTACTGGGGGCTGCGGCTCGGGGGCGGGGGGCACCAGAGGACTCCTGCCCCGAGATCTCATCCCAGCCCCTTCTCGCCCTGCTGCAGGAAGAGCGCTGCCGGCTACAACCTGACAGGGCTGTTTGTGGGCTCCGAGGGGACACTTGGCCTCATCACCCAGGCCACACTGCGTCTCCATGGCAGCCCTGAGGCCACGGTGGCGGCCGTGTGCGCCTTCCCCAGCGTGCATGCGGCGGTGGGCTGCACTGTGCAGGTGCTGCAGGCCGGCATCCCCGTGGCCCGGATTGGTGAGTTGGCGGCCCCGTGCCCTGCAGAATGTGCCCCGGGGGCGGAGGGGGCATTGCTCCCGAGTGGACTGCGGAGCCCTCCAAGGCTCTGACCCCCAGCCTCTCTGCTCCCCCAGAGTTCCTGGACGACGTCATGATGGCCGCCTGTAATCGGTTCAGCGGCCTGAGCTACACCGTGTCCCCCACACTCTTCCTGGAGTTCCACGGCTCGCCCAGCAGCCTGGAGGAGCAGGTCCAGCAGGCAGGTACGTGCACAACACCAGGGGGGTGATGCCTGGGGGGGGCACAGGCTGGGGGCCTGGCCCTGCAGGGGGCCCTCCGTCCTGCTGGCGCAGCGGGGGAGCAGCAGCCCTGGGGCAGGTGGGCACTGCCAGTGGCACCAGGGGTGTATTTGGATGGCGCCTAGGGGTTGGGTGGAGCTGGGGAGTGGCTGGCTGCCCAGCTCGTGGTTGAGGTGGGATGTTGCTGCCCTTCCCCTTTTCTGTAGGGGGCAGAGTGGCTCTGTCCTGCCCTGGCCAAGTCCCTTGCCCATGCCAGGGAGTGGATCTCTCACCTGGTCTCACAGCCCTCCTGGCCTAGGTCTCCAGCGACAGGGGGGAAACCAGGCCTCTGCCCTGCCCCAGCCTGCCTGGCAGAGACGGCTGGCAGCCAGGCCCCACTCCGGGGGGGCGGGGGGCTGACAGCGAGGGTGTCTCTTCCTCTGCAGAGGAGATCGTGCAGCTGAACGGTGGCTCGGACTTTGCCTGGGCCCGGGATCTGGAGGCGAGGAACAAGCTGTGGGCCGCTCGGCACAACGCCTGGTACGCGGCCTTGGCCCTGCGCCCTGGGAGCAAGGTGGGCTAGCGCTGGGGCACGGGGAATGCCGGGGGGAAGGGGAGTCACTTGGAGACAGGGTGAAGGAGTGCCTGAGGAGAGGGGGTAGGGGGAGGCTGAGGGAAGAGGGGGTCACTTGGGAAGAGGGTGGGGGAGTCCCCGGAGGGACAGGGGGTCTGGGGAGTGGGTAAGGGGTGCCAAGGGAAGGGACTGGGGGGCATCAGGGGAGGGGACTGGGGACTGATATTGGGGCTCTTGGTGGGCCAGGAACAGCCCCTCACCCCATGAGACTCTGGGCTTTCCCCAGGTCGGGGGCCAGTGCCCACCCACAGGACTGTCCTGCCCCAGCCTGACTGCTGAGAGCCGCTCTCCAGCAGGTGTCCTGGGGTCAGTGCTCCCCAGGCCTTCGGGGGACCCCGCTGAACAGCACGTCCCGAGCCCCAGGACTGGGAGGGCTTAACAAGGGTTTTCCCAAACCGAGCCAGGTCCCACCAGTGGGGCGCAGGGGGGGCTGGGATCCTCCGGGGGCCCAGGCGAGGCCAGTGTGCACCCCCCAAGTGAGGCGGGATCGGGATGCCCAGATGTGTCCTGTCACTTCTGCGGGGGGTGTCAGTGAACCCTCTGCCATGTCCCCTTCAGGGCTACTCCACAGACGTGTGCGTCCCCATCTCCCGGCTGCCCCACATTGTGGGAGAGACCCACAGAGACCTGCAGGAGTCAGGGCTCACAGGTGGGTCTCCACTGAACCTGGGGTCAGGGCCTGTGCAGCTGGGGGTCACTTCACCGGGGTCAGGCAAGGCAGCAGGAGAAGGGATGACATGACGGGGCTGGCGCTGCTCCCATCCCCCTGCTGTCAGGCCTGACTGCCATTGTCCTGTCTGGGTGTGGGAGCCACGGGGCTGGGTGCTGCAGACAGAGGGGGCAAAGGCTCTGCCCCCCATTGCCGCAGGGGATGGTAATAAATCCAAACGCGGCCCCTAAACGCCAACCACCCACAGTGCACCTGTCTGGGATGAAGGCCTCACCGGCAGGAGGGCCTGACAATGCCCGCCATCGCAGAGAACAGTGCAGGTGAGCACGCCTCACACACGCTTCACACTCATCAGACACTTCACACACACAACACACTTCACACACATCAGACATGCATCAGATGCTTCAAATGCACTGGACATGCTCCACCCACAGCTCTGGCAGTGCTCCTCGATCCCGGGTATCCGAGCCCTGGGGCTGTGCTGAGCAGGACTTGCCAGGTATTTCAGTGGGGCTGCAAGGGGACCAAGCCAGCCTGGCTCCCCAGAGCTGGAACTAATTAGCCTTGGGCCTGCCATGACCCCCACCTGTCAGGGCATGTGCTCCCTGGGCCGTGCGGGTTTCTGGGGGACATTCCTATGCCCCCATGCTGTGATCTCATCCAGTCTCACCCCCATGCTGGGGCAGGATGGACGGGAGGAGCCAACGGCTGAGCCAGCCGCTGCCGGAGCATCCTTCCGAGGGATCGGGACATGCAGCTCCTCATGCCCTGGCCAGATCCCCATGTGGGGGATATCCCTGATGAGCTAACCCCTGCCACATTTCAGTGGGGTAGGGGGCTCCCTCCCCAAGCCCCGGGGCACAGCCCCCTTCTGCCAGAGGGGGCTGCATTTTAGGAGTGGGCAATGACTCTGGCGTGGGCTCTGCAGGGCAAGGGGCTTCGCTGGAGGGGAGGTGGGAGGGAGCCAGGCAGTGTCTGGGGGGGGGCTAGGAAAGGCTCCCCATACGAGCAGCTGGTCTGTGTCCCCTCAGGCCCGATAGTCGGGCACGTGGGCGATGGGAACTTTCACTGCCTCCTGGTGTTTGACCCGGCCGACCTGGCCGAGATCCAGCGCGTCAAGGAGTTTGCAACCCGACTGGCCAGGTAGGAAGCCAGCTCTGCCCAGCCCTGGTCTGCCTTGTCCTGCCTGGCCCAGCCTAGGTCTGCCCTGCCAAGCTCTGCTGAGTACTACCCACCCTGTCCAGCCCAGCCTAGCCCGGCTCTGCCCTGCCCAGCCCAGCTCTGCCCAGCCTAGCCCGCCTCTGCCCTGCCCAGCCTGGCCCAGCTCTGCCCAGTGCTACCCAGCCCTGCCCGGCCAAGCCCTGCCCAGCCTGGCTCTGCTCTGCCCAGCTCTGTCTGCCCTGCCTGGCCCAGCTCTGCTCTGCCCATGCTACCCTGCTCTGCCTTCCCCAGCTCAACCCTGCCTGGCCCAGTTCTGGTGTTGAAGGGCAGAAGCAAGTCATGGGATCCTGCAGGGGGCAAATGGGGCCTGCCCTGACTGGCCTTTGGGCCCAGACCTGAGGGTGGGATTGGGGGAGGGCACAGACCTAACGGTGTGGGGGGCACACCAGGGAGGGGCCCAGAGCTCAGGGCAAGGGTAGCAGGAGAAGCAACCAGAAGAGTTCCCAGGAGCCACCTGTCCTGGCCCCCTTGCTGAGAGCACAGGCAGCGCCCCCAGGACATACGAGAGACCGGAGCTGCCTGGCACATGGGGAGTGGTCGGGTACTTGCTCCTCACACGGGGCCCTGCAGCGCAGCCAGGCTGGGCAGGGCCTAGACGGGGGCAGTAGTTGTCCCAGAGGTGAAGGGTGGGGGCTGCACACGGGGTGCACCACGCCCTGGGGCCGCACCCTGCCCTTTTGCCCCCTCACCCGCTCCCCTTGGCATGCTCCTGGCAGTGCAGCATCCCCTACAGGCAACTGGCACGTGGCTGAGCCCTCCCCTGCCCCCTGCAGTGAATTCACATGCATGGATCTGATCCTGGGGTCCCTGAACCCCTGAGCACCCCCTGCCAGTTGGTCTGCAGCCCCCACCCCACCCCCAGCCATGCTCCCCGCAGCTGCCCTGCCCTCCTGCTAACACATCTCCTGCCTCCTCTCCTCCCAGACAGGCCCTGGCCCTGGACGGAACCTGTACAGGCGAGCATGGCATCGGGCTGGGCAAGCGCCATCTGCTGCGGGAGGAGATCGGGGAGCTGGGGCTTACCATCATGAGGCAGATCAAGGCCACGCTGGACCCCAAGAACCTCATGAACCCTGGGAAGGTGCTGTGAGCGGCATCTCCCACCCCTGCCCAGCCAGCCCAGAGCACCCAGCGCTGGCAAGGCAGGTTCCCTCCCAGGCCTGCAGCTGTCACTCCCCTTCCCCCTGCAGACAGCGACTCGGAGCAGGGGCAGCGGGGAGCCCCCAAGTCTCGGCCCTTGAGCCCAGTGGATTGTTTGTGCCACGGGAAGGAAGGACTAGAAGCACTAGAAGGCAGCAGGCTTAATGTCAGCAAACCCCTCCTCCCCCCCCCCCCACTGCTCCTGGCCCTGGGCTCCAACTCAGATCTGCTACTGCCCCCCTTCACCTCTCCCAGCCCTGGGATCCCCCTTCACTTCTGCCTCAGCCCCCCCACCCCGCCTCTCTCCACCCTAGGACTCCCCACGCTCCCCCCACCACCTCTCCCAGCCCTGCGACTCCCCCTAACTCTGCTATTGCCCCCCCTTCACCTCTTCCAGCCCCATGCTCCCCACCCTCAGCTCTCCCTGGGTCCCCCTGCCTCTCCCAGCCCTAGGACTCCCACCCTGGCTTTGCCTTGTGGCCTTGTGACAATGTGGGGAATTTTCTTAAGAGTTTGTATGAATACTGTGTGGGCCTCAGTTTCCCTTGCATGCTGCTGTTTAACCAGGGGGTGGGCGAGGGGGTTTGGTGTTGCAGAGGCCCAAGTGTGACCCCGCCTAGCAGCCTGGCCTGGACACTGTGTAACTTGGCAGACCAGACAGCCCTGCCCAACTTGGAACCCACTGGGTCCAGCCAGTGGGAGAGCAAAGGACTGGAGAGGGCCGAGGGGATGTGTGTCTCTCAAACGAAGACAAAGGACGGACTCGGCCAGACCCAGTTGGACTGTGCGGTAACTTCCTACTCTGTGTTCCCCACTTCCAATAACCTGCTGCTTTACATGTTGGCTGAGTCAGTGCAGGCTAAACAGGTGGGGACTGCCTTGCCTGCATTGCTCCCTTGGGGTGGGCAGGCTGAGGGGACGCTGACGGGAGCTCACGGGCTGAGGCCATGGGCTGGCGGTGGAGGCAAAGGGCTCACCCCAGGAAGACAGCGTGACCCTACCGAGGGTAACACTGCAAAGGGGCCTTCCCAGGATGAAAAGAGGAGTGGGAGAGCACTGGGGCTGTGCTTGTGTGACACCCCTCAACCCCAGCCTTGGGCTAGCCCCCTCCCCCCATTCTGCCAGCACCTCTCCCATGAGAGGAAAACGCACCCTGCACAGCAGAGCCGTGGCTCTGACTAATGGAAATCCAGCCCCCACCCAAAGCCAGGTGTAAAGCTTGCTGTGGGCGGAGTGACCTCCTGCCCAGGGGCAGGGGCAAGGGGCTGTGTGTGGGGGAGGGTATTCCCCTCAATCATCAGTCAATAAACTCACCTTCTGCAAAGCAGGTCCCCAAACCCAGCAGTGCCCAGGGCCCACCTGAATGGCACCTGGAGCCCAGCTGGGTGGTGGCAAGGGCCGCAGACGGCACCTGGAGCCCAGCACGGCTTTATGCCCTTCTATGGCTCCGGGCGTCCAGCCTAGGTGCTGAGAGCCTGGCCCAGCGTGGCAGCCACTGTGCCAGCTTTCCATAGCAGGGGCTGTAACACCTCAGCCCTGCCCACCCCAGCTCCCCCCAGTGCAAAGCTCCAGCCAGGCAAGGGCAGGGCATGCTGGGCAGGCACAGGGCTGGGGGGGGCATGTGTGCCATGCTGTTCATGGGGCCTGCTGGGCATGGAAATTGGCCCCTCTCCAGTCTGTAGGGGCCTGGATGACTCCCCACTGCCCCTGCAGCCTGGCTGCCCCAGGGCTCTGCTCAGAGCACAGCCTAGGGGCAAGCCCCGTGTTCAGCCTGCGGCTTGTAGCAAATGTGGGAATTGTTTGGAATACAGCTTTAAAGCCAATGTCTGCCTCCGTTTTAGTTGCCTGGCTACCCAGCGGGTACACAAGGGTCAATGCTGCACTTGGCCTATGCTGGCTGATGAACCAGCCCCACCTCCCTAAGGGGCCCAGAGACAATGGCAGCCCCCAAGCCGGAGCAGCTGACAGCAAGGCCCAAGGGGTTTCCCTGCAGGAAGAGTCGAGCCCTCCCAGGATCCTGCTGGGGCCTCCAGCACCCTTCGCTGCCAGCAAGCGCCTGCCTTTCCTTGCACCCCCAGGGGACTGCCTGCCCAGAAGGAGCATGCACAGCCCCCACCCTCCACTAAGGGGGCAATGGGGTGGGAGAACTGCTCCCCACTGGCACAGCATGGGGCGCCCCTGCCAGCTGGCACCTCCCTGGGGACTGGTACTGAGGGGCTGCAGGTTAGCTGGGCTGGCTGGGAGCCCATCCCGCCCACTGCCCCACAGCTACATGTGCCTCCCTCAGCCCCGAGGCGCCCAGTCCTGCAGCCCTCTGTGCCCGTCCCACCTGCCCCAGCCTCCAGCACTGCCCAGCAGAAAGAGGACACCCCCGCCCTTGGCAGCTGCACCCGCTGTCTGTGCCGGGCAGGGGCTGCAGGTGCCACGTGGCCTTCACCACCACCACCTGTGCCTGGCCCACTGGGGCACTAGCATAGCATGGCTCAGCTGGGCTCCCACCCTGCTCCCCAAGGCTGCTTGGGAGCCTAGGGTCTGGCCCCAGAGCCTGGGCCTGCAGAGCAAAGCCTGGTGGAGACCCATGCTGCAAGGTGGGGGGTCCTGCCATGGTTCCCCACAGTGGGAAGCTGGAGCCCCCGACCCTGCAGGGCAGGTTCCTGCTGCTGGAGCTCCAGCTATGAGCAGGAGCCTGGCCCAATGAAGGGCCAGTCTGGCCTCAGCCCCAACCTGGGAAGGGAGGCCCTGGATCAGCCCGGTGGAGTCCTCTGTCCTTGTGGCCCCTCCCTGCACCTGCCAGGGGGCCCCTGGGGCCCCAACGCCACCCCAAGGCCAAACGGCCAGGGCCCTTCACGTGGTTGGGGGCAAGGAGGCAAAGCAAAAGCCCCCCACTGCATGTGGGAAAGGACATGGGCTGAGCGAAGGGGGGCTTATATATACTTCTACATAAGTGCTCCCAGCTGTAGTAAGCAAAGATGCATGTGTGCGGCCATGTGTGGTGCCCGTGAGCCATGAGTGTGCACACACATCACTTTGTACATGTGCACATCCTGCATTTGCCCGCCTGAGAGTGCTCCTGTGGGTGCCAACTCACTGCAGTGCCCTCATTGCAGCACGCAGTGCCCGGAGCATCCTCTCTCCAGCAGGCACAGCAGCACGGACCCAGGGCCAGCCATGGGGCACCCCAGGGTAAGGCTTGGCTTGCTCCCACCCACTGGGACTTCACACACAGCCTGGCCTGGAGGAGTAAACCCCGCTGGCACTCAGGGTTGGCTCCAGCTGGCATGGGGCAGCACCACCATGGTGCTGGTTGGTGACTGTGGGGCCTTTTATTGCATCCAGCCCTCCCTCCGACTTGGGTAATGACCAGCACCCATTCTGGTCCTAAATTAGCACTCCCAGCAGCTGCACTTGCAGCCCCCTGGCTAGGGGTGTAGGCGAGCCCAGCCCAATGGTCGCCGGTGTGCTGAGTACTATTATGGGCTGGCGCACGCACGCACACACACACACACACCCCCACACACACCACCCCCCGGGGAGTGGGGCCCTCAGCGACCTGGGCCCTTAGAGTGCAAACGCCGCAGTGCAAGGACCCCTCATCATCTTAGCTTGCGCAGGAGCCCAGGCCGTGGGGCCAAGGCCAGTCTGGGCTGAGCCCTTTGATTCTGACAGGTGCTTTCCTGAACCAAATGGCCCCAGGGCCCACCTCTTCCACTCTGGGGGCTCACCCTTGCAATCCCAGAGGTTTCCGACTGCCAAGCCTGAGAACCTCACCAGGTTCGTGCTGCCTCATGTATCAGCAACAGGAACAAGCCACCAACTGCACCATACCTGAGACTCTGGTGATGATGTTAGACCAGCCTGTGGCTCTCGCCCTGTAGCCAGGCCCCACAGGGACAGGCTCCAGCTCCCTTCCCCACGGGTGGGCTGGCCAAGCTCAGAGCACCACAGCAGTAAATCCCATTCCCAGCACCTCCAGGAGCTCTTACTCCACTACAGGCGGGGACAGATCTATTACAGAGGGGCCTTTTGTAGAACAGTCACTGTTCAGAGCATGCTTGTTTTCTAGGGCTCCTATGGGTCAGGAATCTCTGGCAGTCCTGGCTGCTGCCATGGGACAGGGCGTGACCTAGAGATTTGCCATGGTGCCATTACAAAAAGGAGATAAGATCAACTCATGTCAGACATGGATTTCCAACGTGCCTGCCCATGAGAGTGGCATCACTGCCCCGACCTGTCCTGTGCTGAGCCCTGCGAGCACACGGGAAGCTGTCTGATCAACCATAGCAGCGATTACAGCCCTTGCTCCGAAATGGACAGGCCTTGCTGTGCTCACTCGCTAGCCCTGGAGGAGGGTGACGGGTCTCACTGCAGCGCCACCGACAGGATCAGGGCCACATTTAGGGCAAGGTCTGGCTTTGATGCAGTGCGCAGTTCCCAGCACCACAGTGCCCCACTCATTCTGGCAGCTTCTAGATGCTACTGTCATCAAACTAATGAGCCCCCCTTTGCACTGCTGCTTGGGGGAGCAGAGACAGAGTGCTGGGCAAGCTGATTTAAGGCACAGTGGGGGCAAGGAAGGGCCTGTTATCCTCATACCACCACTCTGATCTTCTCTAGAAGCCAGGAATCCCCCCCACCAATATCACTGCAACCTTGACTGCAGAAGCAGCCACAGGGCAAGGGGGCTGTTAACATTGCATTGTGTTAGAGGGGCACAGGTGGCATAAATCAGGAGGGTGCTCACCATGCCGCCCACCTTAAGGCATTTCATGCAGTTCTGCATGGGAAATTAGTTAAATTGGAGAAAATGGTGATTAACACAAGAATGGAAAAGCTGGATAAAGAACTGGTTAAAGGGACTACTGAAAGGGGAAAGGCTAGTGGAGTTCCTCAGGGATTGGCCTTGGGCTCAGTCTTACTCAATATTTGCATTAATGACCTTGGCACAAAACGTGGGACTGTGTTAATAAAATTTGCAGACGGGGGACTGGAATATAATACAGGAAAAGCTGGAGGACCTTGAAAACTGGAGCAATAGAAATGGGATGAAATTTAATAGTGCGCAGTCATGCACTTAGGGACTAACAAGAAACTGAGGACATATCAGTTGAAAGTGAGAGGAGAAAGGCCTGGGTGTATGGGTCGATGGCTAAGTCATCCTGTGATCAATGTGATACACTGGAAAAAGGCTAAGTCAAGCCTAGGATGCATCCGCTGAGGTATTTCCAGTAGAGACAGGGAAGTATTGCTATTATACCAGGCCCTAGTGAGACCTCATCTGGAATACTGTGTGCGGTTTCTAGGCTCCCATAATTAAGAAAGATGAATTCAAAATGGAAGAGGAGCAGAGAAGGGCTACTAGGATGATCAGTCGAATGGAAAACCTACCTTACAAGAGGAGAGTCAAAGAGCTTGGCTTGTTTAGCCTCACCAAATGAAGGCTGAGGGGAGCTATGATGGCTCTCTATAAATACATCAGAGGGATAAATAACTTAAATAACTCCTCCCCCTCTCTGGTAAGTGCCAATATTGACACAAGAACAAATGGATAGAAACTGGCCATCAACAACTTTAGGCTTGAAATTAGATGAAGGTTCTAACCATCAGAGGAGTGAAGTTCTGGAGCAGCATCCCAAGGGGAGCAGTGGGGGCAAAAAACCCAACTGGCTTCAAGAGCTTGATAAGTTTAGGGAGGGTGATGGTGTGATGAGATGGGACACATGCCACTGTAGCCAATCTGTGATTGCTAGCAGCAACTATCCTCAATGGCTGCAGACAGGACACTAGATGGGGCAGGCTCTGAGTTACTACAGAGAATTCTTTCCCAGGTGTCTGGCTGGTGGGTCTCGCCCACATGCTCAGGGTCTAACCGATCACTGTATTTGGGGTTGGGAAGGAATTTTCCCCTGGGTCAGATTAGCCAAGACCCATGGGTCACGGGTCACTTGCTGGTTTGAACTAGAGTAAACAGTGGATTCCCTGTAACTAGGGCTCTTTAAACCATGATGTGAGGACTCCAGTGACTCAGCCAGAGGCTAGGGGTTGATCACAGGACATGAGGTTCTGTGGCCTGCAGTGTGCAGGTCAGACTAGATGATCATGGCATGTTCTGGCCTTTGGCTATGAGCAGTGGGTGTGGGGGGAAATCTAGTGCCCTTAGCCCCACCCCCTCACCAGCACTGTCCAATCCAATGCCCCAAACAAGGATGCTCCACCCCATACCCAGCAACTCCCACATGTAAGCTGCAGCAACTGAAAGGCATCCTGCCACTCCAGCCCCATGCACCTGGCAGCATCTGGTTCCCATGCCACACTGCTTCACTAATACCATTGAAATAAAGCAGCGAGGAGGTTATTGAACAGTATTTTAATACCATATCAAAACACCTGGACTAATGAAGAAAGCTCCCCTCCCTCCCAAGCTCTGAACAATTTTTTTTTTGTTAAATTTAAAAAAAAATTTTTTTTAAATATATAAATACAGAAACCTTTCCGGCATGGCCCAAGCCCACCGCTGGGGAACTTGGCTAAAATGCTCCTCCCATGTGCTGCTCTCCTCAACAGCAGGGGGTGGAGGGGCATGGGGGGAAAAGGGGTTTGCTTGAATAAAATTCCACGTCTTTCCTTTTTCTGTCTGGAAGAAAAAAAAAATCCACATGGGTCTAATAAAAAGGATCCTCTGCAGGATGCTTGTGACTTAGAACCTTTAACTGTAATCACACACACACACACACACACACACACACACACACACACACCCCTCTCAAAAGAAATAAGGAATCCTTTTTTTGGCCACTAGGTATCATGAGGCTGAGTAGGAGGCGGCGGGTGAGGGGATGAAAGCTTTTTGGGTGGCATCTGGCTATTTCAGTCACTGAGTGGTAATAGCCCAGTTCAAGAGTGGTCAGTCCATAAACATCACCAGGCAAACACACCAGTCGACACTGAACTGTTTTGTTTTTTTTGTAAACACTTTAAAGACAGACCTACAACACCTCCTGCAGGTGAACAGAAGCTGCCCCCGTTGCTGGGGGCCGTTCGTCTCCTGTCATGTTCGGCTGATTACCGTTTGGTGTCCTCAAAGGGAAAAGAAATCCTTAGTCAGTGCAAAAGTGAGCAGGGCTTGCAGTGCCAGGCCCGGCCCAGTGCGGAGGCGCTCGCTAGGGATACAGGAATTCATCTGGGTTTCAATAGGAATAAACAAGACGTGCTCCATTTGGCCAGTCGGCCCATGACAGCTCCGTCCCGGGTCAGCTTTCCTTTCACGGCTGGAAGAAAAGGCCCTTAAGCCAAACATCATGATGGAATTTCATTTCAGGGTCACAATTCACTGCTCCCGCTTCCTCTCCCTTGCTTAGCAGGTTCTTCTCCCCCCATGTCAGTGGCTGTGGAGGTGAAAGTACGGGGAGAAGGCAGCTCTGCTTGCAGGGACAGGCTCACCTGTATTGATTTTTCCTTTAAATAAAAAAAAAAATAAAAAAAAATTAGGCAGCATCCAAGTGGATTCAAGTTTCTGGTTTTTGAGGAGTTGAAAGGTCAGCCCGAAACTCCGGCTGGGGCGGGTGGGAAGGGGAGAGGATGAATGGCAGGTACAGCAAGGTGCCCTGTAGAGAGAGAGAGACAACCCAATGTCACCACACCTGTCTCACCTGGCCAGGCCAGCTCCGTGGGGGAATGCACTGACAGCACCCCATGGCTGCATGCCCAGAATGCATGCAGACGGGCCTTCAGACCGACCCGCCGCCCCCAGTGCATTGCAACATCCACACAGCGTGTGCATGTCTAGCTTCCACCGCCCCATGCTGCAGAAGGGACACACTCCCCACAAGCAGGGAGCCGTGCAGTGACCAGGAAAGGGTTAAACTCGTACTCGCTGAGCGTTCCGATCCCTGGAGGACAAGGAGACATTAAGGGACAACGTCAGACTTCAGGCTATGTCTACATGGCCCCTCAGTGCGCATCGTGGCAGCCAGCCCCGAAGTGTAACTGCCCTGTGTAGACCCTGCTCAAGTGAAGTAAAAGGTACCCAACTGGTGCTAAGCTAGCCCTGTTTCAAACAGGGCTAGTGAACGTGATCTTGGTGCCGTTTAGTTCACTCTAGTGGAGTCACCATGGAGCGGTTACAGTGCAACACTTCAGCGTGAGCTGCAATTCGCCCCTGTAGTCCCTGCTGCTGGGCTGTGTGGACAAGCCCTGAAACACAAGTTGGGATTCTCCAATCTGCCTAGGGAAACAGAGTCCTGATTTCTTAGCTGTCTTGGATCAGCTCAGCCAGGACGGACGTTCTCTCACTTGCATTAGTCAGAGCTTTGGAACCTCCCGATGAACATGTCCGGCCCCATTTACAGTCGCCCAATTTCAAGGGTCGGCCCTTTGCCCTTCTCCCAGCCTGGCCAGCGTGAAGCCAGGTGGACCCTGCCCTGCCTGCTGGCAGCGCTGGTCGGATCCCAAGTGACACAGGAGATGGTTCAAGTGCGAGCCCTGGTACGGGGGCGGGGAGCTCCGGCTGTCCTCACTCAGCCATTCCCTAGCAAAGTGGCTCACTGGACAAGCCGAAGGAACAACTTTCTCCCTGCCAGCCCCTTCCCCTCTTGGACATCATCACCGGGAAGGCAGGCTCCGCAGGCCACGTGCTGCGACCTGGGACCCCTGCGCATGCACCTGCAGTGGGCTCTGCACAGGTGCAGCTGATTAAAACATAGGGCTCAATTCTGGTGCTGATGCACAGGAAGGAACAGCCCCCATTCCCTCCCCCGGGGAAGGCTGGCCCCACAGAGCCAGCAGACCTGTCTCTTAGCCACAGGAGTCAGCAGCTCTGACAGATGCCCCCAGGGAGATAAAGAAGAGGCAGCTATTTTTAGTGTCATTTTGAGCAGCAGAACTGCACTTAAAACGATGACACTTTGCTTTTGAATGTTGATAAAAACAAATGACCCCCAATTTGCTTTTCATACTAAGCCCAGGTTATTTCAAATCACACCGGCTCAGCGCTCTGACACTCACTGCAAAACAAAGCATTTTCCTTACAGCTCAATCAGAGATCAGCCTCCCACCCTGGAAATTTAACACTGCTCTCATCTGGCCCCAGGGAGGGGAGATCCTGAGACAAGTGAATACTTGCTTTGGGGTTGGTTTACTATTCAATTCCAATGAAACACACACACACACACACACACACACACACACACTTGGAAGAAAGGTAATTTAAAAAAATTCATCCACTCCTGCTTCTTTAGTGAAGGTGTATGAGTTTCTACTAACCACCTCCAAGACCTCCTAGAGATCCTCCAACATCCAGACTTGACACCATTAAGGTAAAAGGAACCTATAGGACATACATCACTCCAAAGCCTTCTTTATCCATCACAGAGCTGCACAACAGAGCAGAAATCCAGAGGCTACAAATCCCTTTGGCTCCACACCCAGAGGCAGGGTGGGGTATCCTACGTTAGAAAGAGCCTCACCTTAGAGAGAAGTCAGCAGGCATGCCCAGGAGGTCAATCAGAAGGATGCTCTGGGCAAGATCTGTTCACTTCAAACCACGAATCTATACAGCTGGGGAGAGAGAGACGACAGTCATTTTGTACCCACGGAGCAGGCAGTGAGCTCGCTCTACCAGGTGCCTCCTTCAGCTCAAACTGCTTCATAAGGCAGCTTCTCTAGATGAAATGCCCAGAATTCTCACCCCAGCGCTGTCAGCTGAGTGCCAGGAGGGAAGGACTTGCTGAGCAGGTGGGAGGGGCACCCTGCATCATTGCGCCTGAGGTAGAAAGCTGGGGTACAGGAAACTCTGCTATAGGTTTGTGAGGTGGCCCAGGGGATGGCTCGCTCTGGCCATACCAGGAGTCCTGGTTCAGCACCCAGGGTAGCCAGTGTTAGGAGAGGAAGAGTTGGGCTGTGGTCAGGGCACTAGCCAGGCACTCGGTAGAGCAGGTTCAATTCCCTGCTCTTCCACAGACTCCCTGGGTGTCTGGACAAGTCCCCCAGTCACTCTGTGTCTCAGTTTCCCTTTCTGCCCAATGGGGGCCTGCCCTGCCCCCCAGGAGGATAGATCTACTGAAGACTGGGAGTTGCTCAGATAACCCAGCGATGGGGCTCAGCTAGACAGCATGTTCCACAGCCTTTCACTCACTGCTGGCGGATTCGTTCGCACTGCTGCTTTGTCTCAGCATTGTGGGGACAGACGGTGAGCTATGTATACACCACATGTGCGGCTTGGCCTCGGCACAGCACCCACCATTGCCATGAAGGTGGGTCCTTGGAGCAGGCTCAGGACAGGTGCCCCCAGGCCTGGCTCACAGCCTCCCCTGCATTAGTGGCCTGTCCTCTTCCACTCTGGGGAAATGCCAGACATTGGAGGGCTCTCTTCCAAGCACACTGCCTGGTGCTGCGATGCCAGCAGAGGTCACAAGCTGAGCAGGGTCAGGGCCTGCCTGGACTGGGGGCTTTATGAGAAAACCAAGGGTTCTGTCACTTGTGGGGGTATGCTCCCTTCTAGCCCAGGGCTCAGCCAATAGCCCAGCACCGTGCTAGGGGCCACCGTGCCACTGGAAGGATGTCCAGCTGAGGGGCTGAGCTCTTGTGGTCTAATCCCCTAGGATACCTCTAGCATTAGCCGGCGAACCAGGAAGCCCTTTGAGAGGCTTTGACTGCACTGCTACACCCAGGAGCAAACAGGGCACCACTGGGCACTCCGCAGATGTGTGCGGGAACATTTGCTTGGTAGCCAAGAGCTCAGCATTGAGCAAAGGGGTATGGGAAGGGAAATTGATTCCTGCTGGGAATGCAACAGACCCCACTCATCTGTCCTATCCATTTCCCCCAGGTCCCTTCCCCAACAGCGCGGGGCAGCAGCCACTCCCCACAGCCAGCGTCGGACTCTGCCCAGCTCCCGGGGGTGAAGCCAGAGCTCCCCAGCACTTTGCAGCCATCGAAGCCTGGCAATGAACACGTGGCGCGGGGATCATCATCACTGGCAGCAAGGGCAACAGTAGCACAGGGAGGGGAAGGACATGAGGCCACCCAGTTAGTCAGTGGCAGTGCTGGGAACAGAGCTCTGAGATGAGGCAGAGGGGAAAAGGGGGCTGCGGGCACATGCCCTGGGCAAGTGGGAGGGTATGCCCAGGGCTTGCCCAATAGCAGCCGTTCTGCAGAAGAAGGCTGAGCCAGCCCTGTCCCTTCCTTCAGCTCCCCAGGAAGCGACACATGCCCGGCCCGGTACCTTTTGTGATAAATGCACAGGCAGGGCAGCCTGGCTATCGTGTCCCCCTGTAGAAGTTCCTCCAGGCAGATCACGCACTCGCCCGCGTCTTTAGTCAGCACGTCATCTAAAAGGGGCCGAAAGAGGAGAAATTAGGAGGGAGGCAGACAGCATGCCGGGCAACTTCCATCCCCAGCGAGCAGCTCCTGCGGGCTGTGCACCAGGCCCCCGCGCCACCCTGCAACTCTGCCTGCTCACCCCCCATGCTGATCACTACAGGCATGGGGGGCTCCGGGAGCTATGGCCCCGCGAAGGCTGCTGCATGGGGTGGGTGGGGAAACAGATGCAGGATGCACACAGCTCGCATCGGTCATATCTCCATGCAGGATGGATGTGAACAGCTCCCTCCCAGTAAAGTGACTGGGCCCCCCAAACTAGAGCTGGCCCGATGGCCAGGCTGGCTGCAGGGCCAGGAGCCTCTCCCTTTCCCCACAACCCATCCTATTCCCCTCTGGACTGGCCAAGCAGCTCCTGGGCCCCTTGCACAGACAGGTGGCGATCCATGTCCCCACAGAATGCTACATGGTCCCGATCATTGGGGGCACCAGGGGAGTCCTGCACCCCTGGAGGTGCTTACTGAGTAACTGTCTTTTTACTGCCCTGTGCAGATACAAAGAAAACCTCAAAGCACCCTTGCGAGCCAACAAACCATTGTCCCTGGGTCACCAGAGGGGAAACTGAGGCACAGAGTGCCCTGGCCAAGGCCACACAGGACAAAGGTAGATAAACAGACTCCCCAGCTCCCAGCCCATCCTTCCTACCCGCACTGTGCATTAGACACAGCCACCCACAACACGAAGGCTCCTCAGCAAGCTTTAGCAGCCATGCCAGAGCTGGGCCCAGCAGGAAACCGAGGTCACCAGCCGCTCCTTCACCCCCAACTGCCTGCCCTGCTGCCCAAGGGCCCTTCTATTTGGCAGGCCAGCGGCTGATCCAGGCTGCACCTGGTCTCTGAAGCAAATCCAGCAGCGGGCAGGGAGCCTTGCCTTGTGTCACCTGGACACACGCCAGGCAGGGAAGCGGGTCTATTGACATCGCAGGGCCCTGGCTAGCTCTGAGAAATGAGCACCTCCTGCCCCCGAAGGGCTGCTTTCTCCAGTGGCTTGGCGCAGCAGCAAGAACACGTGGTGCTAAATGGTTCTGGGAGGAGAGTCCTGGGGAGTGAGGAGGCCCCCAGCGTTTGGACACATGAAGGCAAAGCTGTTGGCCCTGAGACTGTGCCGGCAGCTCCCAGGGCCTGGCAGGAAGAACACAGGATTTCTGCGCTCTGCCCCCCCGGTACAGACAAAAGGTGCCCAGCGATGGCACACCATCTGCTCAATTCCCCAGCCCATCTGGTCATGAGGCAGGAATTGACTGCCAGCTAGGCACAGTGCCTGCCCTACAGCCAGGAAAACACCAGCGAATGAGGCAGAAGCACCCCCAGAGAGCGCCCACACACTGCCCGCTTCCAAACCTGCACTGCTTTCTCCAGGCCTGCACATCAGCTGGGCCTGCCGTGCGGGCTCTGCCCGTTAGAACTGGGTCTCCGAGTCATTCAGGAGATGAGCTTAGGAATCGCAGACTAGTTGGCAACTCGGGCCATGGCTCAGTCCCATGCAAAGGGCCAGTTTTTCCCTTGTGGGAGGCGTGGTCTGGAACAACAGGGTGCTGGCGGAGCTGTGTGGGGAGCCCCAGCATGGCAAAGGCTTGCCAGCGCTATCAGCGCCACACTTTCACAAGGGCCAAAACCAGCCTCTGAATTCACGCGCTCCATGAGCCAGCAAAGGCATCACCTGTCCTTGCGGGGAGTGGCCAGGGTTGGCAGAGACCATGCAGATTGAGTTGTTAGCAAGCTCGGAGCAAGCCAGCTGCCCCCTCTCCTGAGACTGCAGTCTCCTTGCTGTCCCCCTGTCCTGCCTCCCAGAGTGTGGACAGACAGACTGCTGAGACCCATGGCCATGGGGTTCCATGGCTCTGACACAAGGAGCCCCCGGGCATGGACTGAAGGCACCAGCTACGAGTGCAGGGCACAGACCTGCCAGCCTGGGCTAGGGCTTTGCAGAGCCAACCCAGCCCCGGCTTCAGGAAGCCAGAGCCAGCCCTACCCCACAGCACACCACGCCCCTGCACAGCGGGGGGGGTAGGGGAAGCACAGGGACTGGTGCTGGAGCAAGGGCTGCAGGGGCTCCCAGTGCCTCCCTTCCCAGCCATCCCAGCAGGAAGCACACGAAAATGCTACCTCCACTTGGGCACAGGGGGGTGATGCTGGCTGGGCTGGGGAGGGAGCTCAGAGCTGTGCCACTTCAGCAAGAGGTGCTGCAAAGAGCAGGGCAGACGAACACCGCTGCTCCAGCCCCGGCTCTCGGAGAGCAACACTGCCGGGAATAGAAGCAGAAGCGCTGGCTGCTAGAAAAAGGTCTGGCAGACACAGGCAGGGGACATGCTTGCTTGGTTGATTCCCAGAGCCCCATGAGGGGAGGGGGCTGCGTCGGGGGGGGGGGGGAGGGAAGGGTGATGTGCCAGAGCGGGGAGCTGCCAGCAACAATGAAAGCGCGCTCTCTAATCCGTCACACTGGGAGGAGGGGGACCCAGCCTGCGATGCAGAGACAGTCTCCTCCCCCTGACCTGATTTTCAGCTCCCAGGGACCCAGCCCCGGCTCACAGCGTGCCAGACTCCCCCACGTGACAGGGAAGGTGCGGTGCCAGCACAGTCCTGACACAGATAGCTGGACCAGATTGCACGGCACTGGCGGGAGGGTGCGGAGGGGAAGGTGGCGCCTGACTACAGCCTCGTGCTCGCCTGGCATTTCACCCCAGTCCTAGCAGGGGGCTAACCAGAGCACAGCCTGCCCAGCTGTGGCCCACTCGATCACCGAGAGGGGGCAAGGCTGCTCCTATTTCCCAATGCAGGATCTCTCCCCCAGAGCTGGGAGGCTGCACCAGCAACGAGAACGCAGGGCTGGCACCAAGGCAGCCCCATGCTCGTACCTGCCAGCTGCCCTGAGACGCACCTGGCCGCGCTGCTGCCCCGGAGATCCCTGGCACTGCTACCCCTCTAAGATTAGGAACACTCCCAGTGCCTGCACAGCGACTGCTCTACTCAGAGCACTGGGCAGCTGGCACCAGGGCCAAGCTTCCCAATCCCGGCTGATGGGCGAGTGCCAGCCCCCAGCACAGAGAGTGCCAGCCCCATGCCATTCTGCCATGCAGGGCTCTGACCTGGGCTGTGCAGAGGCCTTGGATGCAGATCAGGGCCCTGGCCCTGCCTGAGGAGCTGAGCCACCACAGAGCTGTGATGCCCTTGCCAGCGTGGCTCCTGCTGCAGTGCCCATGGACCCTGGCGAGGTGCCCAAAGTTATACTGCCCATGCCTGAGCCAGGATTAGAACTCAGGACACCCTGGTTCTCAGCCCCGGGTGCAAGCCTCCTGTCACCTCTGGCCCTCACGTCTAACCCCCAACCCTGCTCCTCTCGAGCGCACCCTGGCCCTGGCACCCACTGCCCAGCTCCTCTCCTCACACTCTACTGCCAGGAGCCCATCTCGATCCACGGGGGGTCACCACAACAGCAGGGTAGCCCCTGGCCTGGGCCCTGCTCATGAATCCCCCCCCCAGCCTGCCAGTAACAGCTCACAGGCCAGAGCCACTGCCAAGCCAGGCCACTGGTACCATGGGAGTGACCCCAGAGGAGATCACACTGACCTCTGCACTGTTTGTTCAGTGACCGTCGGCTGGCTGGTTCCCCACCCCACACACTGTTCAGCTCCCTCCTGCCCCAGTGACAGCTCACCCCCGAACCTCCCACAGCTCCCAGGCCAGCCCGCCATGGCTAGCAGGCCTAGTAACTTCCTATTGCCTTCCATGGCTCTGCCAGCGTGCCCAGCCTGGACAGCCATGCCAGAACCTGCATCCACCCCTTCCCGCTTTCACTGCGATATAACCTGCACAGCCGCTCCCTTCTCCTCCAAGCAACCCCTCCCGGGCGCTGGCTACAGCTGGACAGGTGCGGAGCCGCGGCTGCCCCCAGCCATAACCCAAGTACAGACCACAGACAAGCAAGCCTCCATAGCTCACCCAGCTGTGCCAACCCCCCATTTCCCTGGGCAGGCTGTTCTTGCTGCCCCTCAGCTCAGGAATAGGCTGGACAGAGTCCAGGTACAATGGGGCCCTGCTCCCGCTGTACCAGAGCATGGGCTGGCACCATTGCCCCGGACTCCACCTGGCCTCTGTGCTCAGGTCTACAGCCGCAGGGCAGTCAAACGGACAGGGTTCACCGGCCTGAAAATGAAACAGATGCACAGGCCCAATGCCCAGAGCTGGGGCCCCAGGCTGCCCACCTTGCGGGGGGAGCGAAGCAAAAAACCCCTGCGTTTAACTCAGTGTTGTGTGCCAAGTACCAGTGTAACCGCACTTTGCATCACCTCCTGCCCTTAGCAGTTGGGCTGGTGCCAGTTGGCAAATCCCTGGCGTTCCTGGGGTGGAGGGGTTTACCTCCTCGTTCGCACAGCAGCAGTGCCAGTCGTGGAAGCCAGCAGTTTATGCGAGAGACTCGGGATGCTGGCAAGTCCCTAGTGGGGTCCCTGCACTGGGCTCTGGGGGCCTCTGATTTAACAGGAATAGTTATAAATTCCAAGACCATTTCCCTGCTCGGCTGCAGAGCCAGGTCCCAGTCAGGCTCTGAACGGTGGGGCAGGGAGCTGTGCGAGACCAAACCACAGGGAGACAGCTCAGTGTAAGCACCACAGAAAGGGAGGGTTGGCCAAGGGTCATTAAAGGCAGGCCCTGCTCTCCTGGCCAGCCCCCCTTACCCATGTCTAGCAGGTGTGGGTCCTGGGGACAGGGCCTGGAAAGCACCAGGCCTACCTGTACTGCAGCACGGGTGCAAGCCAACAACCACACTTGGCCTCCAGGGCTTTAGGAGCCATGCTGAGTCCAGTCTGGAGGGGCCCTACCCACCCTCTGCTAGGACCCATAGAAGCATGTTTCGGGGTCTCTGGGCAGCAGGGAGACAGCCTGGTTAGTTTGCTTCCATGGTAGAGTGGGGGCTGGCTGCAGCCTCGTCCCAGGTGGAAATGGGTGTGTTCTGG